GAGAGAGAGAGAGAGAGAGAGAGAGAGAGAGAGAGAGAGAGAGAGAGAGAGAGAGAGAGAGAGAGAGAGAGAAAGGCGCGACCCGCGGGATGAGCGGGACAATCGGGAGGAGCAGGAGAGGAGGGCAGAGGGGGAGGAGCAAGGGGAGGAGGAGGAGCAGCACGAGGAGGAATAGCGGGAGAAGCAGGAGCGGGAGAGGAGGGAAGAGGGGGAGGAGCAGGGGGAGGAGGAGGAGCAGCACGAGGAGGAGGAATAGCGGGAGGAGCAGCAGGAGGGTGAGTGGGAGAAGGAGCAGCGGGAGGAGGAGGAAGAGCGGGAGGAGCAGCAGGAGGTCTTGAAATTTTGCGTTATCCAATGGAGACACTTGCACTCCCAGAAAGCAATGTGAAGCGTTAGCGGGAACCACCTTGAGACCCTAGTTGTTGACTTTTAATTTGTACGGGAGTTTAAATAAAATATACTGATTTAATATTCCAATTAATCGAAGCCTCCGATAAATCGCGCTAGGTGTTCAATACTTTTCTTAAACCACCAGTACTTCCTAAAGTCGCGCCCGTTAACAAGCCACAATTTTAGGAATGTATGGGTCATTACAGGAGTGGCCAAATTCATCCGACGAGAAACTTTTCTACTCTATTTTTTTTCATGGCCAATAGCTGGGCCAAAAACTGGTGGTTTAAATCCGGCCGCCTTCCATTGTGAGTTGGTTTTCAATGAAAAACCTTCAAGCTGGTATTGTGCCACAGGTTGTCGAAAAGAACTTCCATGTGCACAACACTACGACACATATGTGTTCTATTCGAATCTTCGTTTCTTTTTTTGAAAAAAACTCAAATACAACGCATATGTGTTATGTTCGGGGGCAGGCGGCAGGTGTTAGAGTACGCAAGGATTTTCCATCCCTTGTGGAGGAAGTCAGCAACGAGGTCAAGAAAGCACTCAAACGAGGGAAGCAGCCTCTCTCAAGTAGGAACTCGTGCAGCTCTAGCAGCTCTAGAAGGTTAAAGTGATATATTTGACAGTTTGAAAAGAGTAAGCTGATCTCACTTTAGTAGATGCTCTGAAATGAATGTGGGCACAGGTAGCGATGGTCTAGGAAGGAATGGGGTGGAGGAGGACCATGCCAACTTTTTCCTGAATGTTGAAGAGAGTTTAGCACGCCGGTCAGAGTTGGTGAGCCTCGTGTAGCAGAATAGTGTCAACCATTTTATTCTCGTGTTTTTTCAGTTCCGATAGTATATGTATCGGTGGGGTTTGTCTTCTTCGGTCAGGATGTTTTTAAGGCCATTGGAAAAAAAAAGAAAAAAATAAAAGGAGCGGGGTCAACGGGCAACCTTGACACAGAGATCTAGTGAGAGCGAATGTTCGAAAAAACTTGACTATTTACCACATTACTGCCACCTTAGACGTGGAGTACATGGTTGCGACCCAATAGGAAAACATTTCACCAAATCCCATGTGTTTTCCAAGTAGTCATCACGAATGCTCACCCCACCTTGTCATAGGCCTTCTCCATGTCCAGTAGGAGAACAACCTCCTCTTGTTTTTCCAAGGCTTGAACAGTTGCTGCGATAATGGACCTGTGCTTTATGAAGGCCCCCTGTTCTTGGCCTCCTATGATCTTGGTACCGGCCTAGACGGATACCCAATGCGTTTGCTTGCAGTTTGTAGGATACCTTGAGGACCGAAAAAGGGCGCCGGTTTCGCACATCAGTCTTGGCACCTTTCTTGTAGAGTAGTGTGATAATTCCTTTTGTCAGGTCACCGCCCGTCAAAACTGAGTTGTATATATCAAGCAAGCGAGGACCAATGGAAGGCCAAACCACCTAGTACCTGTGGTATAAACCGGGCCGCCCGAGTCACCTTGTTTGCCAAAAAAAAAAAAAGTTAACCAGTGCCTCTATGAGCCCCATACGGCCCCATTTTGCAGCCCGTCGGCCGCCCTAAGTGAAGGCAGGCTCGACGAGGCCCTCAGGGCCCTTTCTGGCCACCACGCAACTCAGGGAAATTCAGGCAGTTGCGCAGCGCCAGTTGGTTGAGTGAACCCAGGCCCTGGGCCGCCTGTGTGAACGTATGTGAGAAAGGCCCTGGGCTGGATACGGGTACCGGGCCAAACACAGGCTGAAGACAGTTGGGCACATGCAACCACTACAGGCCCAAGGCCTGCTCTCGTCGTGCTGGGCCTCAGGCTACCGGGGCCTACTGGAAGCTTCCTGGGACTGGACGCAGGCAGGCCACTTCGATATAGGGAAGGGCCTGCCTCCTCATTCGGCATTCGGGTGCTGGCTGCATGCTGCGCAAGCGCTGCTGCTGCGCTATTTGCTGGCTGGCGCCTACGCTCTCACGGGCGAGCAGGGAAGGAGCACGCAGCCATAGCCGAGCTGCGCTGCTGTAAGCTGGGTGACGCGCAGGTTGGTCCTTGGGTGCTAGTGGCATCTGTGAGTTGGGGAACGGGGTTGTGAGTGTAGTGCGAGACATACCTGGTGCTGGAAGCGTGTGACATTGGTCGCCATATGCTCGTACTTCGGGAATGCCGTTGATGTCATCTTTCGGCTTCGTAGTATAGGCTAGATAGGATCTGCCACATGTAGTCTGGGCGCCGAGCGCCAGATAGGATATCAACTCTGGTTCTTCGTTGATGATGATGGGACTATTTCAGCATTGTCAATTATGAACTCTTGGTGTGTTCTTATTTGGTGAATCTCGTGATGCAATTTCTGCTGTTGGTTCGAGGTCAAGACTATCTGGACTCATATGTATGATGCTGTTTGATTGCTGAAGTTCGCTATTGCTCATCTTCCTTGCAATTTGGTATCGGAGTTGTGGTACGATTGCGCTCATCTGGCGCTTGTCTTCTGCCTTATGCGGTACATACATGCGGTCTGCTGGGCGAGTTTGGCCGTAAGTGGTGTGTAGTGAGGAGGGTGGAGACGAGTGTGTTGGCGACCCAGGAGGTGAGGGGATCGCCATGAAGGCTATGAAAGTGTATTGTGGTCTGGACAATGTGATGAGAACTATCTAATGTGCGATTGATGCTGAGGTGGAACGGCGAGATAATGCTGGTTGTGCCGATGCAGTGACTGGTCATCGCAATCGCCATTTGGTCATCTGGTGAGATCATCTCTGTGGTTGGGGGCAGCTAAATGAGGTACGTTGCTCTTAACCTTATCTTCCCTCTCCGACACTTCTTATCGTGAGGTTGTGTGTTCCTTCTTGAGAGTCCTCTCATCGTGAGGTGTCGAGTGCGCTCAACCTTGAGAGTCGACAATGTTCACGTGGAGCATCTGGGTGGAGATGGGCGAAGCTTTCTGAAGGGCCCTGGACGAAGCACTGGGTCACGGTCACCATGCCAACCCACAGGGAGTAGAGCACGCATGCCTAGCTGCTTGTCCTTTGTCCGGCTTGCTGCGCTGTTAGATGGGTACTACTGGGCAGGCCAGCCCTACAGGAAAGACGAGCACCCGACGTCTATAAATTAACACGGGAAGGGGAACCATTGGCTGTGATCGTCGTCCGGCTGTGACGTAAAATAATTCCTGGAGTCACTTGGGGGCGGACATTGGGTTGCCCCTGGATCAGCCAATGGTTGGAAGGCTCGCAGCACGCCGAGGATAAATATACGTGCAAGGTTGGCCAGCTGAGTGGATACTCGGGGCACAGGGGTGGGCCGGACACACACACCTTTAGACATGCGATGCTCTCCAGATCGCTCAGGGACGCTGACGTCAAGAGATACTCAAGGGAACTAAGGGAGGGGTTGATTCCAGGTGATAAGTTCGAGAAAATTCCATGCTGTCCTATCCACACAAGTGATTCTATTTTTATGTTTTGATTAGTTAGATGGCCATTGACATCTGACAGACAACATTAGTTAGGACTGGTTATTGTTCCTGGTGCTTCTGTTTGCGGACTAGTCAGACTAAAAATAGTTTCAGTTGTAGGAATCTGACTTACCTGTTGACCTCAAGTTATATCTGTTCCGAAATAGCCACCCACTAATTAGTGGGTCTGTGCACTATGTTGCGGTAGGCATCTAGTATGATCTAGTGTAGACAGTGCACAGTGCTGTAGCCTATGAGCGACGAGGAGGACATCGGAGAGGATGGTCGGAGGATCTTGAGATCAGCTAGAGGCCCGAGAGCTCACGTGTCCCTCGGACCGGAGGGTGATAGGATTCTGTTCCGTCGGCTTAGGGCGAGACAGCAGGAGCAGAGGAGGGCTAGATCAGCCGAGGCCAGCAAAACTTTAGTTAGCGAGGCCGGTGCTACGGCAGCCATGGCCACTACAACCATGGTCACTTCTGCACAACAGACTTCCCAAGCCGGTAGTTCAGGTGCCGTCGGGTCAACGGTCGCGCAGACCGTGAGTCAGTCCACTGGCATTATGGCAAGCCAGGCCGCGGTGTTGACTCTAGAAGATGTCGTCGTCCAGCAGGCAACTTTGCAGGAGGCACAACTTCAGCGGCCATTAGGAGAGATAAAAGCGGAAAAGGAAAAAATGATCAAAAGAAGAGCCAGGATGCAGCGGAGAGGGGCAGATATAGAGGAGTTAGAGACGATGGAACTGAACAATATGGATGATGATGTGAGGGTAGTTAGGAGGGCCCTGCTAGGCGTAATAGAGATGCAGGAGCATCAAACTACCATCCTTCAGGACATTCAACAGAGCCTAGCCGTTTTGGCAGGCCGTGCTCAGGCAGCACCATCACCAGTCGGGCCTGGTGCGTGGCCCGTGCCGTATCCTCCCTTTTCTGTCCCATCGGTGACAGGGGTATCCCCATATGTAGCCCCTTCATCGGTTGCTATCGTTTCCCTAGGCATGCCGCTGTCAGGAGGGGTAAGAGCAGGGAGTAGTTTGCAGGTTCCTGTACAGACAGTGTTCACTCCAAGTCCGTCGCAGGTTGCAGTCACCACGCAGCCAGCTGTCTCGCAGCCTGTGCAGCCTCAGGGCACGCAGCCCCAACAGCTAGCACAACAACCTGTGTCACCAGGTCCACAGCCCGGAGTGATGCAGGGACCGGGACAAACGCAGTGGGTTCCAAAGACGGCGATCGCCGCTCCCCAACCTTTTGCAGGGGACAAGAGAGGCGAAGACCTTGACACATAGTTGAGGGCAGTGCCGGTTTACGTCAGGTGTAAACTCACCTTGCCGCACAAAGAAGTGCTTGTGGCTGCTTCCTACCTAGAGGGTAGTGCAGCAAGATGGTTGGGTAGCTTAGTACAACTCCAGGGGTATGGTCATGACTTCCGCGCTTGGGCGGCCTCCCAGAAATTGGAGGACTTCCTGAAGATGGTGGAAGAGAGGTGGCATGATCCTCAAGAGGCCCAAAGGGCCACTGATGTGATCCTGACACTGCACACGTGGCAGTTTAAGTCAGTAAGGGAAGCCACCGACGTTGTTGAGCGTCTGATCTGTGTCCCAGGGGTGCGCTATGACCCCCAGGTCCTTCTGACTTCGTACTTGAGATGCATTTCACAGCCTCTCAGGAACCTGTTGGCAAAAGAGGCCAACATCAACATGCACAACTTTCCTTCGTTTAGCAAGGTGGCCCTAGACCTTGAGGCAAAGATAGGGCATGGACAGGCACCCACTACTGACGGGAGAAAGAAGACACTATCTCCCAACTGGAAGGCGAAGGGTCGCATCATGTTTGTTGACAACGATGGTTCAACCATCGAGTTGGACGGCAACTTCCAGGAGGGAGTAGGTTCACAGGCGGGCAACGTAGAAGCTTCAGAGGGTGGAGTAGATGCTGCCGTTTCTCAAAAAGGTAAGCCGACCGGTAGATGCCGCGGAGGCTCCCGGTCTAGGAGTCAAGTTGACCCTAATGCTCCTCCATGGGAGAAAGTGGGTCTTACTGAGGACGTATGGAGAGACCGTTACTCACAGCAGGCCTGTATTCGTTGTGGTCAATATGGCCACAACCAATTCAAGTGCCACAACAAGAAAGTGATAGAAAAGATCCCGCCTACGATGGGGCAAGTGTTGGGATCCTCTCATCCCGTAGGTAACAATGTTTCTAGTACTTCTGGCAGTGCTCCGGGAACCATGTCGGGCCAGTAGGAATAGTAGTTGTTCCTGCTGGGGTCGAGGTGGTGGAGACACCCTCACCATCTCGAGAGATGGCCCAAGCTACTGACTCCAGCGTCGTCCCGCAAATACATTCAGACCCATCGAGCCTCTGTTCGATGAATGTGTTTGAGTCCTTAGAGGAGCTAGAGGCAGAGTGGTCTAGATCAGACCCACTAGCTTCTTGGACGACACTAGTCAAAGCCCCGAAGGGTGAGATGTTCGTCAGCGAGGTTGTTATTGGCGGCCGTAAGGCCGGGGCCTATTATGACACTTGCTTGACTAGGAACTTTATTAGTCGCGCGTGCGTTGAACGGCTGCGTTTACAGGGGCGAGTGCAGCGCCTGAGTCGACCTGTGGAGTCGACCTGTGCCAACAAACAACGCATGGTAGTCAATGACTACCTCCAAGATGTAGAGTGTTGTTTCCCGTACGCGGGAGGGGACTTGAGACATCGTGTCTCGTTCCTAGTGAGTGACGAGCTCCCGATGGACATGTTGCTAGGGATGTACTACCTCTCTGTTGCACAGCCCCAGTTTGACTGGGACCGAAAAGTGGTCAAACACACTTTGCCAGGTGGAGGGACCGCCAGATTACATAAGTTCAAAGCTAGTAGTTTGATTGAGTCCTATGGGTGCATGTGTGCGGCCGCGTTCTATAATTATTATAAGCAAAACCAAGAGGAGGGTATGTACTTGGTATATGTCTCTGCTGCAGGCGAGCCGGTGAAAATGCCTCTAGAGATAGAGGGAGTAGTTGCTAAGTACCCTGATCTATTTGAAGAGCCGACAGGGGTTGTTGAGAGGGAGGTTGTCCACGCGATAGAGATTATCCCAGGGTCTAGTATTCCGAAGGGTAGGATCTATCGGATGTCTCCAGGCGAGCTTGATGAGCTTCGCCGCCAATTCAAGGAACTCGTAGAGAAGGGTTGGATCCAGCCGAGTGTCTCTCTTTATGGGTCTCCAATTCTATTCGTACCTAAGAAGAAGGAGGGTACTCTTAGGATGTGCATTGATTATAGGGGCCTCAATGCCATCACTGTGAAGAATAGAGAGCCCCTACCGCGCATCGATGATCCGTTAGATAGAGTGCAAGGGTGTCGGTACTTCAGTAAGATAGATCTGAAGTCCGGGTACCATCAGATTGCAATCCGGCCCGAGGATCAACACAAAACCGCCTTTCAGACCAGGTAAGGTCTGTACGAGTTTGTGGTGATGC